TCCCACCCCACCCCCCACACCAATTTAATTCCCCTGTACCATATCCCACCCCTTCTAGATTGTAAGCTGAAAGGCAGGGCCCTCGTTTCCCCTCTTGTTTTGCATTGAAATTTGGTTTGTTCTGTCACATGTTTGCCCCCCTTTGTAATGTACAGCGTTTGAGTGAACTTTGGCGCTTTTTTTAAATACTGTATAATTTATAAAATTTTTAATGAAAAATCTAAATTTTTATAGTTGTTGCTGGAAAAAAAGGAAAAGCCCAGAGGGGGGTTCTGTGCCCAAGAGGAAGGAAAAACTCAAAACGGGAATTTTTGTTTTTCCGAAAAATTGGTTCTTGGGGGCCCCGAGATAGAAGGCGTGTCTTTGCAAAACCCCAAGGGGTTTGGGGATTTCCATACCTTATAAGCCGGGTGTCTTTTACTTTTAAAATTGGAAGTTAATTATGAGAACTTTTTAACGATGGGAAAATTTTTTTTAATGAAAGTTAAATTTTATTTGTAGGCAGTCACTAATTTTGTTCCCACACTTTTTTCCCCCCCCCCCCCCCCCCAGGTCACGTGTGTTGACACAGCCATTATTACCGTAACCCAGAGGTCTTATCTTTCTCGTTCGGTTGTCCTTTTGGGTGCAGGTCCATCTTGGTATTGCTATTTCCCTGAGAGCTGTCTCCACATGCTAAGCATGTATGTCTTAGGCACACAGAGGTCCGCCTGTACAGTGGACACCAGTCAGCAAAAACCTCGCATTGGTGCCTCCAATTAGTTCGGCCTACTTCCACATTGTCTGATGTGTGAAGATGCGGACAGAAATTTATGGCAGTACACCTATGATTTTTCTGTACCTGGTTATATATATAACTACCACATTACTTGGTGACTGACAGTGGACGTAATGATCATCCCGAAGATAGCCACACACGAGAGAATAGGTATGATGAGAGAAAAAATGTTAGATGTACATTGAATGAACTGGAATCTGGGAAAGGGCATTCAAAAAACTGAAGAAAACCCTCAGGTTTATGAACCTCTAAATGAGAAAACAGTTTTCCACCTCCATAGAGTGGAACCTGTTGGTGGTATGTAGACATTGTGGGAACTAATGTGGAAGCAGGGTCATCAGCCTCCACTACTCTACAAGGGCACCTTGTTCATGCTCGCTACCATAAATCTGGGCTTCAACGGAGCTTGTTAATAACAAACTGTGCTCCCTTTCCCATTTTTTCATTGCCATGCATGTTTTTTTCTATCTGTCCTGGAGGGTTAATGCCAGCTGCCTCCTTCCAGAGGGATATGCTTTCAGAATCCCGTAAAGAAGTCTTAAAAACCGCAGAATTCTGGGATACCCCTGATAACACATTCATCCGCCTTGGAAACAAACCAATGGGAGTACAACCAATGGATTGCAGATTACAGCAGGATTTGAGCACATTGGCCCCTGTGTTCCGCAAAATATTTGAGGCCCACTCGGAAGTTCCGGAATATGGTACACTAGATTATTACCGAATGCTTTATTTCCAGATCCTTAACAGAGAAGACCCTTAGAGATGAAGGGAGAGGTTACCACTTCCTTTGTTGAAAGCTTTATGAAGTCATTGCCTTACTGGTTGGCATGTAGTACTAGGTTGGCAGGGGCCGGACATGACAACTCATGGGGCCCCCGGGCTATAGGGGATCATGGGGCCCCTGTGTCCTTGCCCAAACTCAATAAAAAGCCTATGGAAAAAGGTACCATGGGCATCTCATGGGGCCCCCTACTGGGACCTCGGGCAACTTGGGGCAGTGCCCCAAATTTTTCCAAATGATCAGTCTGCACCTGACTAGGTTGCCTACTGAATCACAGTAGGTCCATCTGCGCTGAGAGTGATAGCTTTCACCAAGATGAGCTGTATTCCTGTGGGCAAAGGAGGACACAATGAGGCCTACCATGTTGGTACTATTGTGTTTGTGAATTGTGGTCCATGCATAGGCTGATTGACGTGCTGCTCTTTAGTTTTTATTTATTCAATTAATTCTTTTCATTTACTGTTTAAGGAAAGCCACAGTCTTTATTTTTCTTGAGGCATACTTTTGTTGGCCAGTAAAGTTTCATCACCAGTGAAGAGCTGAAGCGTGAAACTTGAGGTACTAACCCATAGCTGCTATTGTTTCCAAGGGCATTACTACTGCAACTGAGGTCAACCAATGGACTGTTGGTATGCATGTGGATGCTGTGCTTTAGTGTCAGGAATACTCATTATGGTATGGTCAAACATCCTAGGAGAGAACCGCAATGTAAGCTGTGTTAGGCTATAGGTTTACACCAATGCAGGTGGCGTTTGACCCGTTTCTGCATTTGCGGTTTGCGCTGCGATTTTGCATCTGCATTTGTTATGCATTTTTTTGCCGCGTTTTTTTTTTTTTTTTTTCATTTTTTTTAAAAAAATTTTCTTGTTGCAAGACAGATTTAAAAATGCAAAACGACGCAAAAAAAATTGCCGCAATTAACGCTAAATACATGCTTTTCTGCAGTGTGTCCATTGAGGTCTATTAGAACCAAAATAGCTAACTTTTTTTGCATTCAAAAAAGTCCTGACCCTTTCCAAAAAATGCACCCGGAGATGTGAACGTGTCCCATAGGAAATCATGGTTACATGGGACTGCACTGCATTTCTGTAAAACGTTGCGGAAAAACGCTTAGGTGTGAAACCTGGGGTAATACTATATTCATGAACTGGTAAATGGGCAATTTTTTCATGATTGGATGGCACAGCCATAAGGTTATCATTATCCAATCAATAAATACATAAAAATTATTTACTCACTGACCTCAAAGCATTCCCCTGTCACCAGGCTATCTTGCAATATCCCAATATAGGTCCAAAAATCTGATTAGAAGGTTGTATTTTCCAGATTACCAGCATATGGAATCCTCATGGATTTGCTTATTACAGTATATCTGAAGCCAATCTTTTTTTGCTGTTATGGATGGAATGGGGATGGTTTAGAACCTCTACCAGTTTATTTTCCATCTCCACTGGGGAGATTTACCCTTTCTGTCTGTCCTGGTTACCATCCCACATGGAAGAAAAAATATATTTTAAATAGATTTTGAAAATATTCTCCCCAAATATATTGACATATTTGAGATACTACAATTTTGGCCATATGTAAATATATATATATATATATATATATATAAATATATATATATATATATATATACAGTTGTGTTCAAAATAATAGCAGTCAGACATCACTAACCGGATCAATCACTGTTTTTGGTAGACATGATATTTCTACATGGCAAATAATTTACTAACAGGTGTAGTAGAGTAATAGAAATCCAACAGACCCAACAGTCATGACATGCATGCTGCTGATTCTGTGTCATTGAATCACTCATTGAAAGGGGCATGTTCAAAATAATAGCAGTGTGGAGTTCTATTAGTGAGGAGGTCATTCATTCTTTGAAAAACAGGTGGCAATTATTGCCCTTATTTAAGGAAGGAAGGCAGCAAATGTTGTGTACATGCTGGTTACAGTGCATTTCTCTCTGAAATTCTGAGGAAAATGGGTCGTTCTAGACATTGTTCAGAAGAACAGCGTACCTTGATTAAAAAGTTGATTGGAGAGGGGAAAACATATAAAGAAGTGCAGAAAATGATCGGCTCTGCTCAGCTAAAATGATTGCAAATGCTTTAAAATGGCAACTAAAACTTGAAAGACGTGGAAGAAAGCGAAAAACTACCATTGGAATGGATAGAAGAATAGCCAAAATGGCGAGGACTCAGCCAACAATCAGCTCCAGGAAGATGAAAGAAGGTGTGATGTTCCCTGTGAGGACTGTTACAATTAGAAGATGCCTATGTGAAGCCAAGCTATCTGCAAGAAGTCCCCACAAAGTCCCACTGTTGGGAAAAAGACGTGCTGAAGAGGTTACAATCTGCCAAAGAGCACATTGACTGGCCTAAAGAGAAATGGCGCAACATTTTGTGGACTGATGAAAGTAAAATTGTTCTTTTTGGGTCTAGTGGGCGGAGACAGTTTGTCAGATGACCCCCAAACACTGAATTCAAGCCACAGTACACTGTGAAGACAGTGAAGCATGGTGGTGCAAGCATCATGATATGGGGATGTTTCTCATACTACGGTGTTGGGCCTAATTTATCGCATACCAGGGATCAGGGATCAGTTTGAATACATCAGAATACTTGAAGAGGTCATGCTGCCTTATGCTGAAGAGGAAATGCCCTTGAAATGGGTGTTCCAACAAGACAACGACCCCAAAACACACCAGTAAAACGTGCAACATCTTGGTTCCAGACCAACAAGATTGACGTTATGGAGTGGCCAGCCCAATCCCCGGATCTTAATCCAATAGAAAACTTGTGGGGTGACATCAAAAATGCCATTTCTGAGGCAAAACCAAGAAATAGAGAAGAACTGTGGAATGTCGTCCAATCATCCTGGGCTGGAATACCCCTTCACACCTAAGGGTAAAACAAATCTAAATGCCTAAGCACAATTTTGCAACGTTGACATGTGTGATAATAAAACCGTACATATCACCACAACTACTTTGTACATCCGGGTGGATTATACCGCGTTTTTTTCAGGACAAATTGGGCTTTCATTTGGTGGTAAATGGTAATGGATATCTCCTAATTTCTTTTTATTATCAAAGGAAAACTGGCCCAAAGTAGTAAAAAAAAAAAAATCATTTTTTTAAATTTAGCTGTGTGTTTTCTTGTTACGACCATAATCTACCACCAAAGAACAACCCAAAATAAATACTCCAGCTCTTGACGATCGCAGCGATACCATATATGTTATGTTATTTGTTGTTTGTACCCGTAGTACAGCCCCAGAAACAATAGCGCGTATTTTGTTTGTCTTTTTTTTTTTACCTAAAACACACTGACATTAACACTAACTGAACACAGATACCATTTTTTTTTAAATCCTGACCTTTGACCCTGACCTTGACCCAAACACTAACCCTGGCACTGAACTAGATCAAACCTTGATCTATGTATTTTTCTTTATTTTTTCATTTCTTTTTTAATGTTTATTTATCTTTTTTTTTAAAAACCATTTTTTTTGTCTCTATGGCAGGAGTTAAAGAGATACAATGTATAATAGGATGTATATAATGATACAATGTATAATAGAATGTATATAATGATACAATGTATAATAGGATGTATATAATGATACAATGTATAATAGGATGTATATAATGATACAATGTGTAATGGAATGTATATAATGATACAATGTATAATAGGATGTATATAATGATTACAATGTATAATAGGATGTATCTAATGATACAATGTATAATGGAATGTATATAATGATACAATGTGTAATGGAATGTATATAATGATACAATGTGTAATAGGATGTATATAATGATACAATGTATAATAGGATGTATATAATGATACAATGTATAATAGGATGTATATAATGATACAATGTATAATGGAATGTATATAATGATACAATGTATAATGGGATGTATATAATGATACAATGTATAATGGAATGTATATAATGATACAATGTATAATGGAATGTATGTAATGATACAATGTATAATGGGATGTATGTAACGATACAATGTATAATGGGATGTATGTAACGATACAATGTATAATGGGATGTATGTAACGATACAATGTATAATGGAATGTATCTAACGATACAATGTATAATGGGATGTATGTAACAATACAATGTATAATGGAATGTATCTAACGATACAATGCCTCGGGATGTATGTAACGTTACAATGTATAATAGGATGTATGTAACGATTACAATGTATAATAGGATGTATGTAACGATACAATGTATAATGGGATGTATAAAAGATACAATTATCTCTCTTCTCCAATTATCATAGAGAAAGAAAAAAACGGGGGCCGGGTTTACAGTGACTGATCACTATGATAGCCAATCAACATAGGCTATCACAGCAGTTCCCATGTGACCCGGAATTGGGAGTCCCGGGTCCCTATCGTTAGAAATGGGACCCGGGGCTCTCAGTGACACCGCGGTCTTTGTGCTGGGGAGCGAGCAGTGCGGCATGCTTTCCAGCACAAAGACAGGTACGATCCTCAAAATATGCGGCTCCATGGAAAAAAGCCCAGTTTCTGTGAGGCCGCATATTTGTGTGACGTCAGTGTCCAGGGGTTAAATGTATACAAACCTCAGAACACAGTAGGAAGGCATTCAGTTCCCTTTAGTCCTTCAGACCCCTCATCATACCCCCCCCCCACACCCCCTCGCCCCCCTATAATCTTACAGTCGATTGTGGTTTCAATTATGTTTTTCCTTTGTCCTTATTTATCAACTTATTTAGAACTTTTTTGGCCTGTCAATAGGCAGTCATGGAGACAGGTGTAGCTGTGCTTTGAACCTCTAAAGCAGTGGTCTCCAAACTTTGGCCCCGGGGCCAGATGTGGCCCTTTGCCTGCTTATATCTGGCCCTTGGTCCCTTATTCCCCCCACTGTCAAACAGTGGGGCATTGTTCCTGCCACTGCCAATGACAACGGGGCTCTATTCCTCCCACTCACACCAATGATAGGGAACTTATTTTCCCACTGACATCAATGATGGGGCACTATTCCTCCCACTGACACCAATGATGGGGTGCTATTCCTCCCACTGACACCAAGGAAGGGGCATTATTCCTCCCACTAACACCAATGATGGGGCATTATTCCTCCCACTGACACCAACTGATGGGGCACTATTCCTCCACTGACACCAGTGATTGGGCACCAATTCTTCCACTGACACCAATGATGGGGCACTATTCCTCCCACTGACACCAATGATGGGGCACTATTCCTTCCACTGACACCAATGATGGGGAACTATTCCTCCCACTGACACCAATGATGGGGCACTATTCCTTCCCACTGACACCAACGATGGGGACTATTCCTCCCACTGACACCAATGATGGGGACTATTCCTGCCAGTGACACCAACAATGGGAAATTATTCCCCCTAATACCATATTTCTTCTCCTGCTGGTCACTGTCCAGCCCTCCTAAAGTTTGAAGGACAGTGAACTGGCACTTTGTTTACAAAGTTTGGAGACCCCTGCTCTAAAGGAAAACTGCATATTTGATAAGTGAATATGGCTGCTCAATATTACATGCATAACGAAGCACTTCAAATAGAAATATTTCTAGAAAAAAAGAATATATATATATATTTTTTAATCAGATTTGCACATATGAACATAAAAATATGATTCACTCTATTAAATATAAATACCCTATTTAATTATATAATATAATTCCTCAATTTGTTGATTATTCATGTTTCATGTGTATCATTCCTTGCACAATAGATGTACTTCCATTGGGAGCTGGCATGGCAGAGAAGGTGCAGAGCAGGGAAGGAATCTATTTTCAGTATCTGCCTACAATGCATTTTTAATGTGTCTTCAATTTACTGATCCTTTGTTTGTCCTGTTTATGGTTTCGGCCCATTTCTGCAGAAACCAGAATGTGTATTGGGGTACAAATCAAACCCTGTGTTTGATGTTTCTTTGAAGTTGCAGTAAAGAGAGTCCTCTACTGTGAGCTTTGATCTACAGTACATCACACCTAATCAAACCTTCTACAGAGTGTGCAAATAAATGTTCATTTACTTATCTCCAGTTACTAAAATAAAATCAATTACTAATATAAAATAAAGTATTTACTCAGATAAATTAATTATATTTAAATAGAAATTATTTTAAATAGTTTATATAATTTTTATAGAAATAAAAATAATTTTATACTATTTGATTTTTTTTTGTAAGGTATTTAATTTTCTTAACTTTTTTTTTTATATTTAAACCTGAAATATTGAATGATCTTTTAAATAAAGCCATTCCAAATGAAATAAAATAAACTCTTTACAAAACATTGTTATCACTCCTTTTTTATTTATTTGGAAAAGTAATTTTATTAATGTTATCAATTACTAATATAGAATAAATTATTTACTCAGATAAAATAATTATATTTAAATAGAAATTATTGTCTAATAATTTTATTAATTTTTATTGAAATAAAAATAATTTTATATACTATTTTTTTTTTGTACTTGACGCCATCATTACTCTTTTATGCATAACCATTAATTTAAATGTGTCTTTATTTTTAAATTTGTAACCAAAATAACATATTGGATTTGAAAAATAAAACTCTTGGTGTCTTATTAAAAAAACAAAAATAATTTTTATACTATTTGACTTTTTTTGTACTTGACACCATCATTACTCTTTTATGCACAACATAGAAATTAATTTTTTTATTAACCATTCATTAAATCTGTCTTTATTTTTTAATTTGGATAATAACATCGAATTTGAAAAATAAAATTCTCGGTGTCTTATTAACTCTTATTAACAGGTGTTTAATTTTCTTTTTGAACTTTTTTGTTTAAACCTGAAATATTGTATGATCTTTTAAATAAAGCCATTCCAAATGAAATAAAATAGACTCTTTACAAACATTGTTATCACTCCTTTTTTTTTTTTTTGGAAAAGTAATTTTATTAATGTTATCAATTACTAATATAGAATAAAGTATTTACTCAGATAAAATAATTATATTGAAATAGAAATTATTGTCTAATAATTTTATAATTTTTATTGAAATAAAAAATTATTTTTTATACTATTTGACTTTTTTTGTACTTGACACCATCATTACTCTTTTATGCATAACATAGAAATAAATTATTCTATTAACCATTTCATTAAATGTCTTTATTTTTTAATTTGGATAATAACATCGGATTTGAAAAATAAAATTCTTAGGTGTCTTATTAACTCTTATTAACAGGTGTTTAATTTTCTTTTTGAACTTTTTCTGTTTAAACCTGAAATATTGTATGATCTTTTAAATAAAGCCATTCCAAATGAAAAAAAAATAGACTCTTTACAAACTTTGACACCATCATTACTCTTTTATGCACAACATAGAAATGAATTGTTTTATTAACCATTCATTTAAATGTGTCTTTATTTTTAAATTTGTAACCAAAATAACATATTGGATTTGAAAAATAAAACTCTTAGGTATCTTATTAACTCTTATTAACAGGTGTTTAATTTTCTTTTTGAACTTTTTTTTATATTTAAACCTAAAAATATTGTATGATCTTTTAAATAAAGCCATTCCAAATGAAATAAAATAGACTCTTTACAGGATTAACATTGTTATCGCTCCTTTTTTATTATTTATTTGGAAAAGTAATTTTATTAATGTTATCAATTACTAATATTAAATAAAGTATCTACTCAGCTAAAATAATTATAGTTGAATAGAAATTATTTTCTAATAGTGTTATGATTTTATAATAAAAAATAATTTTATACTATTTGACTTTTTTTATACTTCATTTCTCTTTTATGCATAACATAATATTGTACGATCTTTTAAATAAAGCCATTCCAAATTAAATAAAATAGTCTTTACAAACATTGTACTTGACACCATTACTCTTTTATGCATAACATAGAAATTAATTGTTTTATTAACCATTCATTAAATGTGTCTTTATTTTTAAATTTGTAACCAAAATAACATATTGGATTTGAAAAATAAAAATTCTTAGGTATCTTATTAACTGGTGTTTAATTTTCTTTTTGAACTTTTTTATATTTAAACCTAAAAATATTGTATGATCTTTTAAATAAAGTCATTCCAAATGAAATAAAATAGACTCTTTACAAACGTTGTCACTCCTTTTTTATTATTTATTTGGAAAAGTAACTATTTTTTATTAATGTTATCAATTACTAATATAAAATAAAGTATTTACTCATGTAAAATAATTATATTTGAATAGAAATTATTGTCTAATAGTGTTATAATTTTTTATTGAAATAAATATAATTTTATACTATTTGACCTTTTTTGTACTTGACACCATCATTACTCTTTTATGCATAACATAGAAATGAATTGTTTTATTAACCATTCATTAAATGTGTCTTTATTTTTAAATTTGTAACCAAAATAACATATCGGATTTTAAAAATAAAAATTCTTAGGTATCTTATTAACTCTTATTAACAGGTGTTTAATTTTCTTTTTGAACTTTTTTTTATTTAAACCTAAAAATATTGTATGATCTTTTAAATAAAGCCATTCCAAATGAAATAAAATAGACTCTTTACAAACATTGTTATCACTCCTTTTTTATTATTTATTTGGAATGGGAAATTATTCCCCCCAATACCATATTCTTCTCCTGCTGGTCACTGTCCAGCCCTCCTAAAGTTTGAAGGACAGTGAACTTAGAAAGTTTGGTGACCCCTGCTCTAAAGGAAAACTGCATATTTAATAAGTGAATATGGATGCTCAATATTACATGCATAATGAAGCACTTCAAATAGAAAATATATCTAGAAAAAAAAAAATATATATATATAATTTTGTAAGCAGAGTTGCACATATTAACATAAAAATATGATTCACTCTATTAAATATAAATACCCTATTTAATTATATAATATAATTCCTCAATTTGTTGATTATTCATGTTTCCTGTGTATCATTCCTTGCACAATAGATGTACTTCATTGGGAGCTGGCATGGCAGAGACGGTGCAAAGCAGGGAAGGAATCTATTTTCAGTATCTTTCTACAATGCATTTTTAATGTGTCTTCAATTTACTGATCCTTTGTTTGTCCTGTTTATGGTTCTGGCCCATTTCTGCAGAAACCAGAATGTGTATTGGGGTACAAATCAAACCCTGTGTTTGATGTTTCTTTGAGGTTCCAGTAAAGAGAGTCCTCTACTGTGAGCTTTGATCTACAGTACATCACACCTAATCAAACCTTCAACAGAGTGTCCAATAAATGTTCATTTACTTATCTCCAGTTACTAAAATAAAATCAATTACTAATAGAAAATAAAGTATTTACTCAGATAAATTAATTATATTTAAATAGAAATTATTGTAATAGTTTTATAATTTTTATTGAAATAAAAATAATTTTATACTATTTGACTTTTTTTGTAAGGTATTTAATTTTTTTCTTTTTTTTTTTTTTTTATATTTAAACCTAAAAATATTGTATGATCTTTTAAATAAAGCCATTCCAAATGAAATAAAATAGACTCTTTTACAAACATTTTTATCACTCCTTTTTTTATTTGGAAAAGTAATTTTATTAATGTTATCAATTTACTAATATAGAATAAAGTATTTACTCAGATAAAATAATTTATATTTAAATAGAAATTATTATTCTAATAATTTTATAATTTTTATTGAAATAAAAATAATTTTATACTATTTGACTTTTTTTGTACTTGACACCATCATTACTCTTTTATGCACAACATTGAAATGAATTGTTTTATTAACCATTCATTAAATGTGTTTTTATTTTTTAATTTGGATAATAACATCGGATTTGAAAAATAAAATTCTTAGGTGTCTTATTACCTCTTATTAACAGGTGTTTAATTTTCTTTTTGAACTTTTTCTGTTTTTAAACCTGAAATATTGTATGATCTTTTAAATAAAGCCATTCCAAATTAAATAAAATAGACTCTTTACAAACATTGACACCATCATTTACTCTTTTATGCACAACATAGAAATGAATTGTTTTATTAACCATTCATTTAAATGTCTTAAATTTTAAATTTGTAACCAAAATAACATATTGGATTTGAAAAATAAAAACTCTTAGGTATCTTATTAACTCTCTTATTAACAGGTGTTTAATTTTCTTTTTGAACTTTTTTATATTTAAACCTAAAAATATTGTATGATCTTTTAAATAAAGCCATTCCAAATTAAATAAAATAGACTCTTTACAAACATTGTTATCATTCCTTTTTTATTATTTATTTGGAAAAGTAATTTTATTAATGTTATCAATTACTAATATAAAATAAAGTATTTACTCAGCTAAAATAATTATATTTGAATAAAAATTATTTTCTAATAGTGTTATAATTTTATAATAAAAAATAATTTTATACTATTTGACTTTATTTTTTTTTGTACTTCATTACTCTTTTATGCATAACATAATATTGTACAATCTTTTAAATAAAGCCATTCCAAATTAAATAAAATACTCTATACAAACATTCTACTTGACACCATTACTCTTTTATGCATAACATAGAAATGAATTGTTTTATTAACCATTAATTAAATGTGTCTTTATTTTTAAATTTGTAACCAAAATAACATGTCAGATTTGAAAAAATAAAACTCTTAGGTGTCTTATTAAAAAATAAAAATAATTTTATACTATTTGACTTTTTTATGTACTTGACACCATCATTACTCTTTTATGCATAACATAGAAATTAATTGTTTTATTAACCATTCATTAAACGTCTTTATTTTTAAATTTGTAACCAAAATAACATATTGGATTTGAAAAATAAAACTCTTAGGTATCTTATTAACTCTTATTAACAGGTGTTTAATTTTCTTTTTGAACTTTTTTTTTATTTAAACCTAAAAATATTGTATGATCTTTTAAATAAAGCCATTCCAAATGAAATAAAATAGACTCTTTACAAACATTGTTTATCACTCCTTTTATTTGGAAAAGTAACTCATTTTATGTTTTTTATTTAGTGTTGGTTCTATTACAGTACATGTCATCCCATACCTTGTTGTATTTGCCTTGTTGTTGTTTTTTTTTTCCCCTCAGTGGATTGGCATTACAAAGACGTTTCATATGAACAACGCCCAACTGATATTTGCTACTTTTGCATATAGAAAAAAAAATGGCCAACCAGAATACACACATTTTAATTGCGAACTGTTTTTATTTGAACCTTTTAATTATTTCAAAATTTCCATTAGAAGAACAACCCAAAGTGTCACTTTGATTTAAAAAGACCAGGGGGGGTAGATTTGGGTATCACATTAAGTAGCATGAAGGGGAGAGGGATAAAAAAAACAAAGTGCTGAAAATGCCATTTTTAATATAAATAGACCCAAGCTTTGATCTTCATGTTTCTTCTTCTGGGTGTGAAAGGTCTTGTGTGGAATCTCTTAGCTGTTTTTTTGCATGCTTTTGGGCTCGGAGCTCCTCCACAAACGAGGGTTGGCTTTCTTCCCACCACTACGGCATTTTCAGTTTCCTGAGAATCGGGAGATTTCATCAGGTGTCTTGCTCTTCTGTTTTGAAACCAGACCTGCAAAAAACAATAAATTGATATTAGTGGCCATAGTCTTTTTTTTTTATCAACATATATATATATAAGGAAAATAATTTTTACATATTTATTTTTATGCTTCTGTAGCTTTTTTTTTTCAATGTTCAGTGCATTAAATGCAAAAGTAAATGATAATGAAATCATTTAATTACAATTTAAAATTAAATCATTTAATTAAAATGACAACAACGCCATTCATTTATTATATAAATAATAAAAAAATGTACAACTGTAATTCATTAAAATCTTCAATTCAGAAAATGCTTAATGTTCCATAATATAGTGAGACTTGGCTTGAAGTAGGACTTCCAAAGGGTATTTCAATCCATTTTTTGTTCATCTGCTTTGTGATTTTTTTTTTTAATATTTATTTCAGGTACTTATATAGCGCCATCAATGTACGCAGCGCTTTACATATATAATGTACATTCACATCAGTCCCTAACCCTCAAGGGGCGTACAATCTAAGGTCCCTAACCCTCAAGGGGCGTACAATCTAAGGTCCCTAACCCTCAAGGGGCATACAATCTAAGGTCCCTAACCCTCAAGGGGTGTACAATCTAAGGTCCCTAACCCTCAAGGGGCGTACAATCTAAGGTCCCTAACTCACATTCATACATACACATACTAGGGACAATTTAGACAGGAGCCAATTCACCTACCAGCATGTCTTTGGAGTGTGGGAGGAAACTGGAGTACCTGGAGCAGGGGCAGACTGACCATTTGGAAACTCTGGCACTGCCTGAGGGCCCAGGGTAAGCAGGGGGCCCCATGGGATGCCCCTGGTACCTTTTTCATAGGCTTTTTTGAGTTTGGGCAAGGACACAGGGGCCCCATGATCCCCTATTGCCTGGGGGCCCCATGATTTGTCAGTCCACCCCTAACCTGGAGGAAACCCACACAGGCACAGGGAGAACATGCAAACTCCAGGCAGGTGGTGCTGTGGTTGGGATTTGAACCAGCGATCCTAGTACTGTCAGGCGGAAGTGTTAACCATTTAGCCACTGTGCTGCCCCAATTCTTTCCACACAGGGGTGGATTTAGTAAAATTGGAGTACTCAGAATCTGGTGCAGCTCTGCATGGTAGCCAATCGGCTTTCAACTTCAGCTTGTTCGGTTAGGCTTTGGCTGAAGCTGATTGGTTTCTATGCAGAACTGCACCAGATTTTGCACTCTCCAGTTTTAGTAAATAACCCCCATATTGTTACTCTCTATTTTTCTTCTGTAACAAATAAAAATGACCTCTCACCTGTATTCTGGGTTCTGGTATCCCGGTTATCTGTGAGAAGCAGCATCGGCTCACATAGTCTGGGTAGGGATTGAGGTTAAACTGTTTTTGAAGAAAGAGGGTCTGTTGTTTATTGTATAATGTTCTTTTTCTAGACTTCTGACTTGAAGTTGAAGGAAGCTGATCTTCTACGTCACTTCTGAGCATCTTAGGGCTTTTTAGTTCCTCTGCAGGGAAAGGCCCTATTGAAGACACCACCAAAGTCTGATATTAATAAAAGAAAAATACCTGGTCAGGGGCGGACTGACAACTCATGGGGCCCCCGGGCAATAGGGGATCATGGGGCCCCTGTGTCCTTGCCCAAACTCAAAAAAGCCTATGAAAAAGGTACCAGGGGCATCTCATGGGCCCCTCTACTGACCCTGGGCCCTCGGGCAGTGCCAGAGTTTCCAAATGGTCAGTCCGCCCCTGTGCCTGGTATAAAAAAACATACATACAGTAATAAGCAAAGTAATCACCAGTGACATGGATAAAATGGTTCTTTTTAATAAATAAATGCTCAGACTACAAAGGTCAATATCTAATAAGTCTGATTAGAAAAGCTTGGGATATACCAATGCTTCCCAGAGTTTATTATGTTGCTGTTAACAATAATAGGGTTGCTTGGGTGTGGTCTTGGACTGAGCTCGGGTAAACTATAAAAAATATATATTTTTTATAATTTTATATTATATTTTATAAACTGTATAAAATTTTTTTTTTTTTTTATAACTATACGTTCTAAAAAGCATTATAATGAGGGCAGAAAGATACAAAAAAAAATCTTTGAATATTTAACTTAAAATAATCTATGGAAAACGATGACATTGGGATTATGGGATTTTTACATTTTGTACAGGTCCATACATAAAATATACTTTTTCATTTTACCTAAGCATTTGAGTGCTGAAACAGATTTATGAAGTGTGATCATTTCTAACTTAACATGAAATATAACAGGATATTAACATTTATTTATTTCAGGTACTTATATAGCACCGTCAGTTTACACAGCGCTTTACATATATATTGTACATTCACATCAGTCCCTAACCCTCAAGGGGTGTACAATCTAAGGTCCCTAACCCTCAAGGGGTGTACAATCTAAGGTCCCTAACTCACATCCATACACATACTAGGGACAATTTAGACAGGAGCCAATTCACCTACCAGCATGTCTTTGGAGTGTGGGAGGAAACTGGAGTACCCAGAGGAAACCCACACAGGCAGAACATACAAACTCCAAGCAGGTGGTGCAATGGTTGGGATTTGAATCAATGACCCTAGTACTGCCAGGAGGAAGTGCTAACCATTTAGCCACTGTGCTGCCCACATTTATAGGTAAAGTTGATTCAGTGAATATCTGATTGTCTCTCGGAGGATCAGGAAGGAATTTTTTTCCCAGCAGGAGCAAATTGGATCGTGCTTTGCTGGTTTTTTTGCTTTCCTCTGGACCAACTGTGGGTGTAGGATTATAACTTTTTTATTTTTTTTTAGTGGTTGAACTGGATGGACTTTTGTCTTTTTTCAGCCAGACTAACTATGTAACTATGTAGCATCTACTTTTTAGTATGGTATAATGTTCATCATAATAATAATAATAATAATAATAATAATAATAATAAAGCTTTATTTTGAAAGGCTCATAACCTGCCTCTAACAACATTTGTATTGTTTTGGGTAGAGCAGAAAAAGGTTAGAATCTCTGTTAAATTTTTGTCTGTTATGCCATTGAAAATACTTTTTTTTGCTTCCTATCCCCATGACACCCATATCATAAATTCAGGGAGTTTTTGTCACGAGACAGAAATAGGCAGATGTCAATATAAACAATTTCAGAAATCTAACCCTGTCCCACTTTTGATTCTCCCCCAACTGGAGATATTTCTCATCACTTCCTGTCCTGAAAGGAAGTGAGGGGATACAACTCTAATAGGGACCCTGACTAAAGGCCAGACATAGGGGCTCATTTACAAAAGGCAAATAGGCTGGTCATTTTGCAATGGAATTTCCCCTAAAGCTTGGTGAATGTGATGAAGTTTCACTATGCAAAGAAGACTCAATGGTATTAAAGGAAGATAAAAAAGTATATTTTGGGTGTACATGGTGGAATTCACCTCATCCACTAAACTCTGGAAAAATATCCCTTGCAAAGTGAACAGTTTATTTGTTTAAGGCAGTGTTTCTCAACTCCAGTCCTCATGGACCCCCCAACAGGTCATGTTTTCAGGATTTCCCTCAGATGAAACAGCTGTGGTAATTACTAAGACAGTGAAACTGATCAAATCACCTGTGCAAAATAATGGAAATCCTGAAAACATGACCTGTTGGGGGTCCATGAGGACTGGAGTTGAGAAACACTGGTTTAAGGTGACATTGTCCTTTAATTAAAGTATTAAAAGTAGCTTGTATCTAGGGATACAATGGCTTACAAGGATGCAAGTTTATATACTCTCAATAGATACATATGTATAAAATATGGAACTTACTTTTGAGCCCAGCTGTGCTTTGACCCGTGAAATGAAGCTGATCCTGGATGCATGTGGTTGGTGCGGGTTCCTCCTGCTTGACAGTAACAGTTGTGCTACTTTTCGGGGTTTCTTGTGGTATCCCGAGAACTGAATAAAGTTCTACTAGGGTGTCCTGAAGGATGTTTGGGTTCTTCAAAGGCAGTTGTGTTTCCACATCTGAAGGAAAAGTCCCAGGGCTGCCCAATGACTTATCATGAGTACGCGGAGGCAGATAAAGGTCAGGATAGTCATCTTGTAGGGAAAGAGCATTGCAAATCGCCTGGTCCAACTCTGGGTCATTTTCCATGGTGGCTCCTCTGAGTCTCAAAATGTCTGATCGTAGTTAGTCGAGAACTCTCTATATTGAGAGGGGAAGTTCCAAAAATGTGTGGTGGGACAAAGGATACTCTACTTTGATGGCCATAGGAAGGCCAACAATGAAACATCAGGTCCTTGATCCTCCCTCTAAAGCTGTCTCCCTGTTCACACGTCATTTTGACCAGAACAAGAAATGTGTTAGTAGACTACATAATGTAAATACTTGGAGTCCTTTAATATCAAAAGAAACTTAGTGAAACAGATACAAACTTTTTAAATAAATGTAATCCACATCTTTGGTTGACCTTCAAAGGAACTAAATGAATAAATAAATGAAAGGTGTATCAAAGGGCAAGTGTTTAGTATAGCCTTAGATATCCCCCACATTGTATTGTTTTATTCCTAATTCGGAATAATTATGTGTAGTATATTTAGTTTTATTCAGACAGTTTTGTAGCATATGATGAACATTCCTTGATTTAGATTTATTTTTTCCTATCACATTTTAAAAATGATGATAATAGCAAAGGCAATTAACTAAATAAACTGTGAAAATTTATAAATTTAAAATTCTACATTTGTGTAGCATATAACTGCCACTTAGTAATATTATTAACAGTCACCAACAATAATAGCAATTTAATAAAAATAACAATTATCATAATCACAAGCACGTAGGGATGGGGACATTTTAATTATTTTTTTATTACTATTTATTTATTCTTTTTTTTTTTTTATATTGTTGCTTTGAATTTTTTTAATCACTTTTATTGCTGTCACAAGGAATGTAAACTTCCATTGCAACAGCAATAGGTATGTGACAGGTACTCCTTATGGATGGGTCTGGGGTCAATAACACCTCAAATCCATCCTCAGCCCCTAAAAGCATTTAATCACATCAATATTAATCACATCAATATCGATGTGATTAAATGCTTTTCTTTTTTTCAAAATGGAGCTGTTTGTAGCTGAGTAAACTGGAAGTGATGTAAGGTCATTGCCTATCACTATATATCACCTATCTATTCAGTTGTATCCAACCATTGGTGATTGCATGGACTGTCACTTGTAAGTGACTTTTTCCATGAATTCTCTTAGCAATTATTTTACAGGGTAGGTTGCCAGGTCTTTCCCCAACCCCCACCATGCAGGAGATCCCACATGGCCAGGGATATAGCTAGGACAATTTAGACAGGAGCCAATTAGCCTACCAGCATGTCTTTGGAGTGTGGAGGAAACTGGAGCACCTGGAGGAAACCCATGCAAACACAGGGAGAACATGCAAACTCCATGCAGGAGGTGCCATGGTTGGGCATTGGACCCATGACCCAATTACTGTAAGGCAGAAGTGCTAACCACTAAGCCACTGTGCTGCTCCCCGATATCATAGAGCCAAGCAAAGCTGATCCGGTCTTTGGTGGGTGGAAGCACCAGCTGGTCGATCGAGACTCCCGTTAAAACCGTTAATTGGGCCTGGGGGGGGGGGGGTGAGGGGCATAGGGTAGTCCTCTCCACAGCTTGTAATAGCAATTGAGTGGTTAGTTAGCTGTTTAAGTTGCTATTACAAGAGAGCCAACTGTCGGCTCTAAAAAACGGTACTGCAAGCATCATCTTGATAAATCACTTGAAGTCCAGTGACACACTAGGACACACTAAGTACGTGATTGGTTGGCAAGTGGATATACATGAAATAGAAGTAAATATGTAATAGGTACTAGATAGATTGATTAAATGTGAGAGAGAGATAGAGATAAGTCAATGAGATAGATAGATAGATAGATAGATAGATAGATAGATAGATAGATAGATAGATAGACAGACAGACAGACAGACAGACAGACAGACAGATAGACGGATAGATAGATAGATAGATAGATAGATAGATAGATAGATAGATAGATAGATAGATAGATGGATAGAAAGACAGACATATATATGAGAGATGAATAATGAAGTAGACAAGAGGTTGATGTGAGAAGAGATGGATGTGAAATGATAGATGGATAAATAAATAAATGAATAAATAAATGTTTTATACAGTATAGATAAATGATAGATAGATAGATAGATAGATAGATAGATAGATAGATAGATAGATAGATAATAGATAGATAGATGGTTGGAAGAATGGATAGGTAGACAGACAGAAAGACAGACATATATATGAGAGATGAATAATGAAGTAGACAAGAGGATGATGTGAGAATGAGAGATGGATAAATAAATAAATAATGTTTTATACAGTATAGATAAATGATAGATAGATAGATAGATAGATAGATAGATAGATAGATAGATAGATAGACTATAGATGATAGATAGATAGATAGATAGATAGATAGATAGATAGATAGATAGATAGACTATAGATAGATAGATAGATAGATAGATAGATAGATAGATAGATAGACAGACATATGAGAGATGAATAATGAAGTAGACAAGAGGTTGATGTGAGAATGAGAGATGGATAAATAAATAATGTTTTATATACAGTATAGATAAATGATAGATAGATAGATAGATAGATAGATAGATAGATAGATAGATAGATAAATAGATAGATAATAGATAGATAGATAGATAGATAGATAGATAGATAGATAATAGATAGATAGATAATAGATAAATAGATAGATAATAGATAGATAGATAGATAGATAGATAGATAGATAGATAGATAGATAGATAGATAGATATATAGATAGAGAGATAGATAGATAGATAGATAGATAGATAGATAGATAGATAATAGATATATAGATAGATAGATAGATAGATAAATAAATAGATAGATAATAGATAGATAGATAGATAGATAGATAGATAGATAGATAGATAGAAAGACAGACAGACAGACAGACAGACAGACAGATAGATAGATGGTTGGAAGGACGGACGGACAAACAAACAGACAGACAGACAGACAGATAGATATGAGATGGATAGTTGACAGAATGAAAATTCCGTTCATTTATTTAGTTTGGTAGTGAGCATAAAATGTACAATAATGAGGTTATTATAAATATTGTTCCACTTCCCATAGAGATACTATTACCTCCATAGACCAGGTTGGTAGGTTGTACAGTACAGTATGTGTGTGGGTCCAGGTAGCCAGCCTTTTGTTAATTGTGAGTGACCATCAAACAGATCACAGCAATAAGTGTTGAAAATTCAGAGATATATTACAATATACGGTCATCATTAGTAAGTTGTCTTTACCACCCTGTTTTATTTCCTAGCTGAATATCAATATATTTAGTTTTTAGGGCCCATTTACCCTGCTACTTTTTAACTCATGTGATCTGATATGTCGCGGTTCCCCATTATAAAGATGGTGTCTGTTTCCATTTTGTTGCATTGGGAGCCTCTTAGAAGCCAATGGCAATTATCATACACTTTGATGTGTTGGCATGAGGTAATAATGAGTATTGGTCAGTGGCTGTTAACCCTATCCACTCCAAATTCTAGATTTAAAAATGCTTTGAAATGTAAAGAAATAAAGGTCAATTGCACAAAGGACACACACATTTATGCATGACAATGCACCTATCTAATACTAGAGAAAAACACACCTCTACACACATGCATAGTTCAAACTGGGCCCTGAATGTTTCATTGAGTTGAGAAAATTTGGTCTGAAATACTTAGGCTGGCTTTCATGGTTGCTGCAAAATGCAGGCATGTCAGGTACCAGGTACTTTCGGGTCAGGACCTCAGGGGTGGACTGACCATTTGGAAACTCGGGCACTGCCCAAGGGACCGGGGTCAGTAGGGGGCCCCATGAGATGCCCCTGGTACCTTTTTCATAGGCTTTTTTGAGTTTGGGCAAGGACACAGGGGCCCCATGATCCCCTATTGCCCGGGGGCCCCATGAGTTGTCAGTCCACCCCTGGGTCAGGTAATATGGATTGGAGGTCATTATCAGGCTTTGATTACCCTTTGATGTTGGAGATCAGTGATCTCATCCCAGGACAATAGTGACTGGGTATAGAGTGTCACCTCCTACTGATGTTCCAGCCCCATAGTCTCCTAATGATTTCCACTTGTGGATTGCAGACAGGATTTCAGTTTGTCAATGTTGTTCACTGAGCTTAAATGGTAGTTAATCTTTTGTTTTCATGTGATACTGAGCAGAGCTAATGGTTCCTGCGATGAAACTGTCAAATACTATCTCCCCATGTGTCTATACCATGCCTGTCACTCATCTATCTGTATGTCACATTATTTATCATTATCCATCTATCCTACTCTCTCTTATCTACAGTGTCTCCTGTCTACTTTGTTCATTTTGTTCATTTCTCTATGATCTATCTATTTATCCAATCTACTCATTTATCCTTCTCATATGAATTTATCTCATACCTATCTCTCAACTGTCTACTGTATGTACAGCAGAACATTACTTAGTTATCTATCTCTCATCTATCAAATGTATATTTCATCCACATTATATTATATTTCATCTCCACTATATCATTCTATTTATTTACAGTATCTATCTATCTATCTATCTATCTATCTATCTATCTATTATCTATCTATCTATCTATCTATCTATCTATCTATCTATCTATCTATCTATCTATCTATTATCTATCTATCTATCTATCTATCTATCTATCTATCTATCTATCTATCTATCTATCTATCTATCTATCTATCTATCTATCTATCTGTCTATCTATCTATTATCTATCTATCTATCTATCTATCTATCTATCTATCTATCTATCTATCTATCTATCTATCTATTATCTATCTATCTGTCTATCTATCTATTATCTATCTATCTATCTATCTATCTATCTATCTATCTATCTATCTGTCTATTATCTATCTATCATCTATCTATCTATCTATCTATCTATCTATCTATCTATCATCTATCTATCATGCTATTTATCTATCCATTTCTCAGTCTCCTATCTACTGCTCATCTACCTCTTGTTTGCTTTATTATACATCATACATCTTTCTTTTTCCATC